CAGGTGCAGTTCTCTTATGTCCTCTAGAGGGTCACTGGAAGTCAGCATCAACTCAATGGCAGTGAGGTTTGATTCACACATCATGTAATTCAATAGTCCAATCATATTAAGCAGAGTTGTGCAATCATCACCACCATCACGTTTAGGACATTTTCTTCTTTTTTGTAATCCTTGTTGGTAGCTCCTCGTTTCCCCCAACTTCCCTTGCCATGTTCCCTAGCCCCGTCTTAAAGCATCGATTCTCAATTTCAGCCCTTTGACCCTTTTTAAGCAGGACAGATCTGCCTTTGTGCACCTGAAGGTTACAAGCACCACTGGGCTCTGCCCACTAGATGTCTAGTCGTGCCCATCAAAACAGTTTTAAACACTGCCTGGGAGAGAGGGCAAACCACACTGGACTGAGGACAACTAACTTAGGGGAACAGCTTTCTTACATATGGTGGCCCAGTTCCAAAATGTCATTTCTCCTTTCTGAGTTCTTTTCACTCTTTAACACTAGCCAGAAAGCCACTAATTGGAGACTCATATGGCTAGGGAACATCATCGTTGTGCACGAAAGGGTTATAAGATCCCGCAAACCGTCCTGGAGCAGGGCAGCCAGTTGAGCACTCAACTAGTATCCAGTAGGTTCAAAACTTCTCTGCCCCACCCCTCACCCTCCAATGCATCTCATAAAATGAGCCACAAAAATTCTATTTAGGGTCAAATGCCCAGATGTCTGCTTTGAAAGGAGTTCTTTTAGAGTGGGCCACACAAGGAAACAAGGAGGTCGATCTATCATCGACTGGGAGCTGTTGTTGCGATAGCTCACTGCTTTCAGACCAGTCCCTGGAGAAGGACATCATGCTCGGTAAAGCAGTCACGGGACAGCGAAAAATGAGGAAGACCTGGGGCCAGATGCACTGACCTAGTGGCTACCCTGATGGGCTCCAGCCTGAGAGCTATTACGCGATGGCACAGGCCCGGGACCTGTTTCCTTCTGTTGCACACAGGGTCGTGGCGACCAGTTGGAACAACAGTAACAATCAGGGTCCTCCCGACCCTTTTGAGAAGGAAACAGATGTCCAGGATTAGGGAGTGAGGCACAAAGGATCCCTGGAAGACACAAGATCTTTCCTGCATCCCCCCACCCCCCCCATGTGTTCTTATGTGGAGCGCCCCCTTCCAGGATGCAAAGAGCTTAGCACGGTTAGAGCTCGGTTACCCTGTGGGTGAGACAAGTGCTGGCGGGCCAGCTTGGACCTTTGCCACCACCATTTACCCCACTGGGTCTAAGGACAAGTAATTCTGGCATTTTAAACAAAGGCCTCCCAAATGAACTTCTGGAACACATCCTGGCTGTAAGTAGGAGGCTGTTTATACCAAGTGTGCAACCCGTCCATGTTTGCGTCAGTCACGTCCCAAAGCTGTTCTACATAAAGAACCCCCGTTTGGGGGTGGGCGCTACATTGTCCAAAGACAGCATGGTAGGAGAAGTGAGAACAACAAACTGATGACAAACAAAGGCGCAGGCTTTCCGTGTCACCCTCCATGCTCCCGGTGGACCCGGGAGTGAGGGCACACTTTGAGAGAAGCAGGTGTCTTTTCTCTGCTGGTTGGTGCTGGGATGGGTTTTCCTAAGCAACAGCAAAAAAAGTCTCCCCCCCACTCCCCCCACTTAACATAACCTCGAAATCTGAACAACACACTGAAGTGAGATGTGTCTCATTGCTAAGATCAAAAGACAATTCTGGTCCATGGGTCCCTCTTCAGACTCACGAAGACACACGCAATGATGCAGAATGCAGGAAGATCACAGGATGGTGGGTGCAAAGCCATGTGGATCCAAAGGTGGTGGCTCTGGCATCCATCAGGGTCAGCTAGCAGGAAGGTGAAGATGGGGGTGGGGTGGGGCATGGGGAGGGGAGGTTCCTAGGACCCTCTTTATGAGAAGGCTACATCCACAAGGAGTCACCACCGGGCTGGGACCTGATTGACAGGCTAAACTCCACCCTTACCCTTCTACATATCTTCAAGTTGACATGAAATTATGTAAGTAGCACACTACATGTTATATGCTGCGCATGTTGCACCATGTCCGCTACGTGCATGTGTGTTATTTATGTGGGAGCACTGTTCTATGTTGTGAGGTGTCCTCATTTTGGTGCACAGCAGAAGGAAACACTGCCCAGTCCTGCGCCACCCCACAACTGTCCTGGGCTTGAGCTCATAGTCGCAGCCACTGTGTCCATACATCTCGTCGACGGCCTTTCTCTTTCTCGCTGCCCCTCCACTTTACCGAGCATGATGTCTTTTCCCACGGACGGCCGTTCCTGATTTTTCACGCAAGCCACCCCAGGATGACAACATGACTGTGGTAGTTCCTTCCATAATCTGTTGTCAATTTGAGACAAGAGTAAAGGGGTGGAGTTTAGGCTGTCAATCAGGTTGCCACTTGATGAACTCATTTGGAGGTGGTGAAGGAGATAAATAGCTCGCTGGAGGTGGGACACACGCTCACTCCTTGCAAGACGGGCTTGCTGACAAGACATATGGAGCTATGCTAGAGCCCTGGAGCTGAAGAAGTCACGTGGAGATCCCTGCCAGTGCTGAGATGCCTCTACCGCCACTGGATCC